TACTACTACTACTAATACTACTACTTGTGCTACTGCTCCTACTACTACTACTACGACTACTCTACTACTACTACTACTACTACTACTACTACTACTACTACTACTACTACTACTACTACTACTACTACCACTACTACCACTACTACTACTACTACTACTACTACTACTACTACTACTACTACTACTACTACTACTACTACTACTACTACTACTACTACTACTACTACTACTACTACTACTACTAATGGTCCTGCTCCTCCTCTTACTATTACTCCTCCTCCTCCTGCTCCATATCCTCCTCTTCTTGCTCCTGCTCCTGCTCCTCGCACCTCGCGCCTCCTGTTCCTCCTCCTCCTCCACCTCCTCCTCCTCAAAATCATCATGAGCAGCAGCAGCATCGTCATCATCAGCATCAGAATCATCAGCATCATGATTTGTAGCATCATCATCAGCAGCATCATCATCACCAACATCATCATAGTTGTCATGTGTGTCACAATGATCATCATCAGCATCGTGATCATCATCGTAATCAGCATCATCGTCAGCATCAGCATCCTCATCCTCATCATCATCTCCATCATCATAGCACCATCATCATCGTTGTCATCATCATCCGCATCATAGGAATCATCGTGCATCATCGTCCTCATCATCCTCATCATCATCATCACCAGCAGCAGAATCAGCATCATGATTACAAGCATTGTCAGCATCAGCAGCATCAGCCTCATCATCCTGATCATCATCAGCATCATCAGCATTATTGTCAGCATCAACATCATCATACAGTAACCATCGCCATCATCATCATAATCGGCATCGTATTCGTCATCATTAGCACCACAATCATCAGCAGCAGCATCAGCATCAGCATCATCATCGGCATCAGCATGCTCATCACCATCACCATCATCATCAGCATCATCATATGCAGCAGCATGGACATCATTACCATCAGCACTATCAGCAGCATTGTCATCATCAAAAAGTCTCATCCGCATCAGCAGCATTACCAGCATCATCAGCATCATCATCAGCATCACCATCCTCATCGTCAGCATCATCAGCAGCAGCGGCATCGGCATCAGCATCGGCATCATCATCACCATCATCATCAGCATCATCATAAGTATCATCACCATCCTACTCCTTCCCCTCCTTATCATCATCCTCCTCCTCCTCCTGCTGCCCCTCCTCCTCCTCCTCCTTCTCCTCCTCCTCCTCTTCCTCCTCCTCCTTTTCCTCCTCAAACCTCGACACTCGACACTCGACACCCGACACACGACCCCTGACCCTCGACCCCCCTCCTCCGCCTCCTCCGCCTCAATTCCTCCTCCTCGTCCTCCTTTTCTTCGATCCTGCTCGCCCCCCCTTCCCAGGCCCCAGACCTCCCCGCGTCGTGAAGAGAGAAGAGCCGAGCCGGAAGCCGCGGGCAACCCTCGGCCTCCGGGGGGGGGGCCTCACCGAGCCCCAAATCCCGACGGCAACAAAAGAAAAGCTGGGAGTGATAACCAGCCTCGAGCTCATCCCGAGCCGTAAGACGGGCAGGCCAAGAGCGATAACAATCCCGGGGGGGGCCTCAGAAACTGACAGTTAGACAAGCGCGTTACACAAATCACAGCAAAAGAACTATTCGCAAACGGCCCAAGAACGCGGGGGACTTACGATCCGTTTCACCGAGGCAAGCATGTTATTTTCGGACGTTTGCGAGTGGGCACGTTGCGAGTAGTGGAACGCGCTCGGCGAACTGAAGGAGTCCCTGGGATCGGCACGGAAATGACGTAATGCCGAATACACTCTGACTCATTCAATAGTCGCCCCCCCTTTGGAATGTGGGGGGGGGGGATGGCCGTGGCGTGTCCGCAAGCGCGGCGGGGGGTGTGGAAATCGTTCGCTGCGTGCTGGGGAGGGGCGGCCGCGGCGCATCCGTGGGCGTGGCTGCGGGGGGTGGGACGTGCACCCTTCCTTGCTGAAGCACAGGTGGGAGTCGGCCGCGCTGCGTTTTCGCGTTTGTCGCCCACCCAACCATGCTCAATGAGGATATGGATACGGAGTCACGAGCACAGATAGGGATGAGGATGGGGATATGGATAGTGAGTCACGAGTAATAGGGACAAAGATTTACATCAAACTGGTAAAATCAAGAGCCGGCCCCGGGGGACGGGGCCCCCACCCACAGCTCCGCCGCCGCGGCTCTCTCTCAACGCAGGCCCCGGCAGGTCTGGACCCCCTTCCCAGGGCCGGGCTGTTCGTCCCGAGCCGATGCTTGCGACGGTATCCCGAGACCTGGCGAGGGCCCCGGAGACTGGAGGTGGCCCTAACCCCACAGTGGCCTCCTGCGCTCGTACTGCACGCCAGTTCGTCCTAACCACTGCCGCCGCTACCACCGTCGCTACCCCCGGGCCTAGCTGTACGCGATGCAGTCCACGCCGAACTGCTTGGGCGGGGCTGATCGGGCTCCAGGGTGCGAAACAAAGACACTCTAAGTTGAGGGATCAAACCTAACGCTGCACTTTCACTAAGAGGATTCGGGAGATGCGAGGCGAGAGTAAACAAATAAACATAGGCAACTACATACAACATATTGTAGGGGGGAAGGAGACCGAAACGAGCGAGGGCGTCTTCGGGGGGCGGGTGGCTTTTAATTCCAACTACCAGAGCACAACACTTACGGCAATGTAAATAATGTGATTGATCATCGGGCTCATCTTCGCATCCGACCATACAGCGACGGGACACCTGCTGGAATCGTCGATCCATGGCCCACGCCCCCGAGAGAGTCTTTATAATTGCATTTCTCCAAGCTGGAGGGGACCGAAGAGTGGCAGCGTGAACTTCCGCCCACTCGATCCGCGCAAGCTCAGCCTCTTCGAGCTCGGGGAAAAGGCGGGGGAGGCGAGCACGAAAGGTCGAGACGAGGTCGGGGGGGATAAAGTCGCTCTGAGCGCTGCACTCGCAGCAGCCTGAACCTTTTTCTCCTCACGCAAAGCAGTTCTAGCATTCTGTACCGCAGGCGCTCCGGCGCCTGCATGCAAGGGCAAAGTCTGGAAGCCCTGCGCCGCCTCATGCATACTTACTACGATCGGAGGCCCCTCCCAAAAATTGGGAGATCGGCGGCGCTCTAAAATGTCCTGCAAACTGAAATAAACCTCGGCCTCCGAAAGTTTCTCATAACTTAGCCGCCAGTCAGGGAGCGTGCTTAGTGCCGCTCGAATTCGCGACGCTAAGCTTAAAACCAGAGCCGAGCGGAGATGAGGGCCACCCCAACTCGACATCGAAACGAACGCCTGGCGCGACAGAGAGCAGCGCGGCATCTTAAATATGGCCGCAAAGAGGGCACGTTCACGAGCGAGCACTTGCTTGGGGAGCGGACAAAACTGAGCGACGCACCCCAAACAGGATAAAGCCCTAGAGTCGCACTGCGCCGCTGCAATCGACGAGGGCGCCCCACTCTTTGCAATGGCCTTCGCACGCGAGATCAATTTCTTGTCAGGTCCATCCCACGAGGATGGCTGGGCAGGCGGCACAAGATATAAACCAAGATACATAAGCTCCGAGACAATTTGAAAGCCCGCCCAGTCGGGCAGGAAGCGCTCAAGCCAGACTCTGCATTCCTGCTCAAGCCCGGGGGGAAACCGTCCAGAAAGTGGGACTATCTTGCATTTACGCACCTTAAGTTCTAAATTAGCCACCCGCCTCGAAGCCCGAAAGACCGTATGTAGTTGCCTTAACACTTCAATTCTATATATTACACTACCTACATCATCTGCACATAGACGAGATATACCTGGGCTTGTGGCCTCAATCAGTTGATATAGATGAACAGCGAACGGGTGGGGGGCGACGGCGTAGAGAGTTCCACTTGCTGGACAGCCTTGGACGATCCCTGACTCGATCATGCACATAAAGAAAAGAGCATCCCCTGCGTGTCCAAAACAGGAGACCTGCGTACATATCATTTCCAGAAATTCCAGAAGCGGCCCAGGAAGTTGAAGTTGCCGAAGGGCCAGGAAAACCCAGAACTGCGAAATAGAGGGGAATGCTTGTCCATAATCGAACGATGCCAGGATCGGACGACGAAGTTGGGCCTCAGGTTCTAAACTAGTGATCCGAGCCTGCGCGTCGAGTTCGATGATGTTCACGCCGAAATGCCTGGACGGAGCAAAGCCCCTCTGGGAGCTATGCACAAACCTGGGGAGGGACCGCGTCAGCGGCTACACACAAACCGACGTCCTGATGTTCGAGCCCGTGTTTTTGAAACCAAGCGGTCGGGTGTTCGACGCCTCTCGGATCATCTGTAGGTGGTCGTCGGGCTCGTCGCCCTTCGCGATGAACGCCCCTTTAACAGTATTGAAACCGAACAATAGCGCCTTGCCTTCTAACGACCAAGCTAGAGCCTGATACAGGATGTGGGAACCGTTGGGGTGGAATCTCCAGGCAGCATATGGGAGCTGATCAGGGCCTGGGGCACTCTGTGGGACCTTATTCAGGAACCTCTGAATGTCTAGCTCGGTCGGATGCGGCAGATCTGACCAGTTCACGTCAGGCGTGAAACGATTCACGCAGTGGAGATCTGCAGCACGACCGACTTCCTTACGAACAAAAACTCCTCCCCAGTACTCAGAGAGTCCACTCATCATGCCCCCAGGACCGGCGCGAACAATCGGCGCCGAACTTGGTCCCTGGGACACACGGATGCCTTGCAAAGGCAGTTTCCTGTCGAACGGCGACCACAGTGTACATCTGACCTGGAAGCTCTTAAGTCTTTTTCTCAACTTACGGCGTACCGATTCGGGGGTGTCTTCCTGCTGC